CTTGGCATTTTGGCTTCCACAAAGGATACCCTCGCTTTGCGAGAAGAAGTGTGCGTGTATAGAGCTCAGAAGGGGATTCATTTACACGCAAGGGGCTCACGGCGGGTGTAGGCAAAACCGTTGAATTCAGTGCCGTCGATGGTAGAGTAGAAGATACACCGGAAGGTTGAGCAGAAGCAATGAAGCTACAGTTGGCGAATTGGAGCCTTTGAGCTTGAGGGAAAAATCTATCCAAAAATCAACGAATATCCACGGGATCAATCAGCAATTGATAATAACTTACGAGGGTATGCCATCCGGTGTCATAGGCGGGGTCAGGAAAATGGTAATCGAGGGAGGAAAGGTGAAAACAGTTTGGTCAAATTAACCACAAGCTGGTTTGAAGTTTGACAGTTACATCTGATGAGGTTGTGCATCTGGCTAATAGATTTCATCACCTCCTCTACTTGGTTTATCAGGCATTCAAGTAATCAGTTCGGTTTCTACAAAAGGGTTGAGTATATTAAATCTGTCCCGGAGAGTTACTACCCCATCAAATGGCCGTTCCACCGGAATTAAATACCTTGGCTTCCGGTAGCAACTAATTGTAAGTACATAGTTCCTAGTAACCATGTGCACCCAAAATACTTACCCTGGTTTAGAGTGGAGAGAGAGGATCCAAGAGCCTAAGATAGAATCCGTCGCCTACAGCCTTTCAGGATGGTATGCCCATTACCACCAGCGGCTAGCCCACCACAAATTACCTTGTCTCTCGCGAAGTTTCCCGGTGCTCACCGTCAATGGCCACAATTTATATATGACCAATTCCGGTTGATTGGATGTGATCCAATGAAGTGGATCTTCCGTGTTGCTAAGATCAAGGTATGATCTCAAGAGGACGTCCATTTTCGATGCGATTTCTGGCCTGGGTATCATCAAGGAATCGAGCTCGAAATGCAGGTGTCCTGGCCGTGAATGTGTGAATTCCGAGGGAGAGGCAGGTGAAACCTGTGCATTAAGGCCGGAATAGTAAGCATTCCCAGGAATCTCCTCGATAGACGAAGATTTCTCATCTGAAGAATAGCCGAATGGGCTTAATACAAAACTGCACAAAGCAGGTAGGTTTTCGAGCTGGCATAAAACCAGTTGTAAGCAAGAGAGAGAGGCGAGCTCTATTATATTTCCACGTACTTGGGCGACCGTCTATTTTAATTTTAGAAAGGGATTAAGCAGCGATTGAGATATCCGAAGAGCAAGACTGACGACGTTCGTCAAAACGGGAAAGATGTTTGACATTTCAAGAATATATGGCCTTCCGATAAAGAGTGGGACATGAAAGTGATCGAGTGCAAGACAGTCTAGATTTGTGTATAATATAAACTTGCTCTCGAAGAGGAGAATCTCTAGCGTCATGTTTCTCATCCGGAGACCCCGTCTTTGTTCTGGAGAAAAATTGCTTCAAGGTGACTCTTCTTCCACTAACGGTAGGCTCCCCAGAGCTAGCTGTCAGCACCTGGCGGAGAGCGGCGAGCTCGCTGGCATCGTCGGCTGGTATTTCCTGGGTCGCTTGAACGCTCGTACAGTAAATGATAGATGCACAGCGTATGCAATGAAGATGCATATCCTAAGGGAATAGGCTTCGGATGGTCCGAAGTAGTATTCCAAGAACCTGAAATCGAATCCGGCTAGCCGCAGCCTTCCTGGGTGATCCAAAGATTTTGGTTCTGTGTCCGTTGGCGGTGATAAGCATCCACCGGATTGTGATTCCACGTTCTAAAAGTGTTCCTCTAATATAACGAAGCGTTTGATGTAACGCACAATTTCTTCGGAGCGGGTGAAATGAATGAATAGTTCCTATTTCACCGCTTGTCGTTTATTAGAAGATTTCTCGCCATCGTCAATGGTATGAGCGGATGATACTCGGAGATACAAGGATAATATTCTAGAACGCTGGAAAAGATGATATCGGGTATGAGGGAGCCACGATTTTGCTACTAGCGACAGAGTTTTGAGATCTGTAGATGAGTCTGAGGACTGGTTAATGAATTGATCGTATATTTCTTAGGAAAACCGGTCCGATTCGAAGTACGGGTGCTGCTACATGTAGGAAGCTTGATAAGTGAGAGACTAGAAAGGAGGCTGAAGGCAAGAAACGTGGGCAACTTGCACCATCAGCGCGTTCACGTGTCATCTATCCCACACTTCTGACGCGCCTTCCGCGTCCTTTCAGCCTTCGGGATACAAAAAAAGCGACGCGTTCGGTCAAGCAATTATATTTGGAAAAGCACTCCCAAAGAATCCTTAGCTTCACAGAGTCCGTAGATCAATGATTCGCTCAAAGTATTTCTTATATACGATCCGTCAGCTATTTTGAACAATATCGCAACCGTTCAGGAGTTGTTCAGTCCTATAATAGATATGGGGTCAATGAAAACCCCCTTTGAGGTAAGCATTCTGCCACATAAATAATCCCTTAATACGCTCCTTTCTGACTTCAACCGGACTCAATAGTAATTTGAAGTGTTAACGACCGTGATGACAATCAATTGTGTGCTTGAACAACTGTACCGGCAATGCCCCCTAGCAGCTATGGATACTGGAAAGTAACTTAGCTCGCGCGGTTACCGGTACGCATCCTCCTAGGTTGGTGCATCTGTGTGATCGACGAAAGTGAGAATCATATACAGGTCTAATAGTACCGGCGATGCCCCTAGCAGCTATGGATGTTGGAAAGTAACTTAGCGACGCGGTTACCAGTACACATCCTCCTAGGTTAGTGCATTTGTGTGAGCAACAAAAAAGGACCATAGTGAGGATATCTAAGTACCCAACTTCCTTCCGCAAACTTTTTCGGCAGTCAGGTAAAATGATGATCCTTAGTTTTTCTGTAGCAAGGGCGTAACTAGCCTATACTCTTTCTGTATCAAGATGAAGCTAAAATAAGCCCTATGTCTTCTCAGCTCCTGTCATCCTGCGCCGTTTAACCAGGCAGTCAGTGGATCGCTGATCAGTCACGGCTTATCCCATTCCACCCCCGAAGTCATGATGTAAAGGTCTTTGAGAGACGTTGGAATAATGCTCCTCTCACGTATCGTAGTCGAGGAGATGTCATTCCGGACCTGCCCTGAGAGAATTCAGAATGCCGCATCCCGAAAAAATCTCTACAAAAAATTAAGAATAAAATACCGGTGCCCCATGGCTGAGTTGGTTACAGCGTCCGACTGTTATACTCCAGGTGGAATAGCTTACATCGGAAGGTCGAGAGTTCGAGCCTCTCTGGGGCAGTGCCGGTTGCTCATAATTGCTGGCATTTTTCAGTTAATGTCGTGGTTTTTTACCCCGTGAAGTATAAGCATTACTATCTATGTACCAGAGTTGATAACAAAAATGTCGATATAGGAAGGCTTTTGCAATTTTTTGTTGACTCTGCTTAAACTTGAGAGATATTAAATATGAATGTTAAGCTTTGAATTGACCAAATTTAAGGATTTTCAGAGCCCTCAATATTGTGCCAGCTGTCTCCCGAGAAAGGACGTTAAAATGGCGAGAGTTGATACTCGGACCGGTACTTTCCGAAGCCCATGGGAAAAGACTGTTTTCACCATCCTCATTCGTTTGAGAGAAATCCGCATCGTTTTAAATCCACGGATAGTACTCAAATGCTTTAAAATGACATAAAGAACACAATGTCCAAAACCTGAGATAAATCGAGCATTTTTGATGCTTCCCGGCACTGATAAAGGGAAAAACATACCGTTTGAACACTTGAAGAATTCCCTGATTATTTTCAAGCTCGATAATCGTCATATTAGTTTTAATTTGGTGTACCGAAAAAGTTTGAGAGCGAACAGTCCAGAACTGCGCTCAAACAAAAGGATTTTCTGCGAAAGTATCGACTCTGGGTACGTTATTAACTAGCAGCTTATGCCTAATGAACGATCCGGCGGAAAGCGATGGAGGGTGCGGAAGTGGAGTATTTGTCCTGGAGCCGAACAAGATCATCTCTGTGGGCCGGACGGTACGAATTGCATAAGAAGCTTCCCTCACTCTCAAACCCGAACCCCCATCATCTCCAACATCACAGCTAAAGCCAGTTTTTTTCAACAATGGTCCAAGTCCTCCTTCTAGGCGGCCACGGCAAAATCGCTCTCCATATGACCAGAATCCTCGCATCTCATAGTCACAAAATCACTTCTATTATTCGTAATCCGGACCATGCGAAAGAGATACAAGATTTGTATCCGCAGAATCCGTCGTTGATCAACCCGGTCGTAACGTCGATTGAGGAAACGGATTTGGAGGGAGCGAAGGATTTGATGAAGGGCGTTGATTGGGTTATTTGGTCTGCTGGTGCGTCTTCTATGTTTCTGGATTTTCCGTTATGGCATGGGATACATGACATTGTGTAATGTACTCTAGGCGCTGGGGGTAAGGGTGCTCCAGAACGTACCAAACTCGTCGATGAAGTAGCTGCCAAACGATTCATCACCGCAGCCCTCGCCTCTCCATCCGTCAAGAAATTCCTCATGGTTTCAGCTAGTATCTCTCGTCAATCCCCCGCTTCCTACTGGGACGACGCCGATCGCACTACATATGAGCGCGGATGGAAAGCCCTCGCAGCCTACTGTGAAGCCAAACTAGCCGCCGATGAATTTCTCTATGACGAAAGTCGAAAAGCCATCGAGAGTGGTGCACGTAAGGAGAAGTGGGTCGATATCAATTTGAGGCCTGGGACGCTTTCGGATGAGCCTGGGACGGGTAAGGTGGATTTGGGGAGGTCGAAAGTCGCTGGGAAGATCTCGAGGGAGGATGTTGCGGGGGTTGCTGTGGAGCTGTTGGAGAAGGAGGATGGCGGGGCGTTGTGGATTGATCTACTTGAGGGCTCGGAGTCTATTGGTGCGGCCGTTGATCGCGTTGTAGCGGGGCGCATTACGTCGAGGGAGTGAATGGCAAAGGCAATCTGAAAAACGAATGTACAGTACAGAAAGGATGAGAAATTACGATAAACGTGGTGAACTATATGCCCCATGGCTGAGTTGGTTACAGCGTCCGACTGTTATACTCCATGGTGAATAACATACATCGGAAGGTCGAGAGTTCGAGCCTCTCTGGGGCAGTAATATACAATTTCCTCTGTTTTTGTTCGGTAGAGTGCACTAGTGCTATGTGAATGTGATTTCAATCATCGAGCGAAAGCAACTCAGGCCGCTGTCCACTTTTTGCTCTTTTGTAAATTACAACACAAGCAAACTTTTATTTCGCTAACGTCTGACTCATTGCCTTGACTCTATTACCCATTCGTACCATTATGGCATGTACTATCTACGGCAGTATGATGTTCACCATCCCCACCCTGGTATTCCCATTCACTCTTAATTGAAAGCGGATCCCTTAGCAGCCTTGATCCAAGCGCTGTCAGCTTCGGGGTACTCCCAGCTCATGATTCCTCCATCTGGAGAAAGAAGAGAAGAAAAAACATCAGTCAATCTCAGATCCAGCGTGTTCGAGAGAATCCCAAATACTTACTCCACTTCTGTCCCTTGGCCTGCTCAACACACTTGGCCAAATCAGCAGGAGCCATATACCCAGTCGTCGCATCGGCCTGTCCACCGGGCTTGCCAATGACAACCTTGTCAGCCGATACTCCGCCCTTGATAATCTCCATCACGGCCGATCCAGGGTATCCTGGGGACGAGGTGATGAGGCCGGCGCAGGTGGTGTATTCGGTTCCCTCTGTTGGAGAGTTAGATTGAGCGTACGAGCAACATTGTAAAAAAGTAAAACATACGGTTGTAGTATTGAAGATTATACCAATCAATCTTGCTCCCGACTTCCTTGTCAACTTTGGTATATGCACCGGTCTTGTAGTGAGATCCGCTAAACCATGGTGCGAGAGCTATGCACATACATAAATACAAGTCCGACTTCGGAAAAGGATCTTACTGAAAACTTACGAGCATGTGTTAGGATGTATTGGTTCTGAGGCAGCTCTGCTCTCAACGCATTCGTGAAATCAATCAACCACTGCTCAGCCTTCCCATCCTGGGCGTTCATAGCGTCCAAGTCTTCATAGTCGACGTCTAAACACAATATAAAGAAAGGAGGTTATATTCCAGTTCATCCACGACCGATGGAGGGAAGAACACAAAAAACTCACCAATCCCATCAACATTATTATCCTTGACCCACTTCGCCATCGTCCCTGCCGTCGCCTTGGGATCCTTGCTCGTAGGCAAATCCGTCGAACCAAAAGCAGAAACGATCAGTTTGATCCCGGCCTTTTGGTACGCGGCTTTGGTGCTGGATTTTTGAGCCGCAGGAAGGGTTTCCCAGGCTTTGGCTTGGTCGGCGGCGCCGGTGGTTAAGAGGAATGACATTGCGCTGAGAAGGGGTGTGTGAGATGGATGAAGGAGAGACGATGGTTGAGAGGGGAGTACTTACACCGTGTTGAAGCCCTACACATTCGATGACCGTCTCAGTATCCTCAATCCAACCGCTCTCGAGGAAGATTACTTACCGAAATCTTGGACGCATCAGGTGCAGGTTCCGAACCCTATAGTAATGGAAAGAAAAGGGCACCCAATGAGCCCATGGAGTTCTAAATCAATCCCCGAAAAGAAAAGGATAAACTAACCTTATCTGTATATACAACAAAATGTGGGGCAGCCTGTGTTCCGCCTGCTGCGGGTGCCTTGGCTGCCGCACGGGGGTAAGCTGGAGCCGCCCAAACGCCACAATTCATTACAGAAGAAGAGAAAGTCATGGCTAATACGCCTGCGGTTAGGAATACACTGGATCCGCGCATGATGAGGATGAACAAAAGAATTTGGAAAAGGAAGAGGAAATTAGAGGGAAACGTGAACGAGTAAGATAGGTAGAATAGAATAGATAGTTGAGTCGTAAATTGGACCAGCCAAGGAGTTAGTTACTTGCGGATTCGAGAGGTGAAACCAGCCACACTCGATGAGGAATCGTAGGACAGAGATTAGTCTGCTTTTATAGGAAAACGAACACCATACATTGTCCCATAGCGGGAGTGAGATCCCGAAGCTAGCGCAACGGAGATATAGCCGGGAATAGAAATGCAGTGTCCAAAGGAGTTTCGTAGCACATATACTACACTTTGTGTACAGGCATTACCGGTCAATTCGGGAAGTGCAAACTGCAAAAGGAAACGGCGAGAGACAACAAAATAAACTGGAAAATGACATGAGATGATAGAATGTGTTCAGTATCAACAGTAAACCACGAACTTGCCTCCCGAAAGTGATGAGCCATCTTGACCTCGATCAGACTACTGCTGTACCATCGTGTTGTACTGAGAAAAGACCAAAGGGCGATTCACTATGTATTGAAGTGTATTGAAGTGTGGCAATGAATAGAGTGGACAGCCTCGACCTTCCCCATATGCCGGTGGCATACATTGAGAGGAAGTGCGGAGACGTAAAGCAAAGTCCAAAGGGGTCTTAGCAGACTCCGAATCCAAACGGCTCAGTTTCACTTTCGAGATGGAACAACCGACTAACTCGGAAGGTTTGTAGGTTGACGGCATTATGCTCCACTGTCTGTGTAGACGTGCGTAGGCTTCTGTTGCAAACTGGGTCACAGATGCAGTTCCGTTCATGGACACTTACCTCTGTTCTAACACTACGGATCTCCCGATATCAAATCAACCTGTCGACAATGACGGGAAGTATAGCATAAACCATAGGTTTGCTCCTCCAGCAGATTTTGCCATTGATACCAACGGTGCAAATGGCAGTTCATAGCGCAGGTTGCTATGCCATAGGATTGTTAATGAATGGCGTGAAGGTAGGTCATGCATGATGAGCACATGTAGCATATGATGCTTCGCAAAGAAGATAGCCTATGAAACAGATGGTATTGCCCGCGTCAAATGAACAAATATGACAACGCACCTTCAAGGCTTCACCTGCCCCTTCTGGCGGTGTATAATAGATTTGTAGCAGCCCAAGTTCGATTCACGGCCAAACGGATCAGCTCTGGTCAGCCTTTCAAGCAGGAAACTCCTGAGTGTCGGGAAGAGTAAGACGAATATCGAGCGCTAATGATGCTCAGCGCTAGCGGAAAGACACGGGCCGCTGTTGGGATTCAGGCTCGGTCTAGTTCTCCCAAGTTCGACCAGCGGTGAACTGTGAACGCTTCTCAGAGGAAACCCATAAATCTTCTCGTCGATTATCTCTCTCAATTTCTCTCCAACCTCAAAGCCCTCTGTCTCCGAATCGTCGCAAAGTTATGGCTTCCTCAAACAAAGACCGTTTCTCCGTCTGCGAATTGACCTGTGGTGTGTATCTCATTGCTCCCTTCACCGATTTGCTTACAGTTTGTAGTGAATAAATATGTGGCTGTTTGATTCTATGCCGTACCAGGAGGATTTTGAGCGTAAATAAATGACGGACACAATGCAAGAAGCGCAAGACCGAAGTATTAGATTCTTCTACTGACTTAAAAAATTATTACTTGCTCGTAGTTGGACAAAGAAAGACCCACAACACCGTGAGGTCAAGAACAGAATTACCGCTGAAGAGCAGACATTATGGAATAGCAAAGGGAGAAGGCGAATTCAAGCGGACTGGAAATGGCCTAGGGAGGGTTTTGATCCCCCGTTGAGACACGGGTCGCGTAACAGGAAGTTTGGCCATGGAGGAACTCTCCTCGTCGGACGAAATCCAGATCGCATCCTTCGTGAAATTTACCCCGCTCTTCTCCTTGCGAATACGAGAAACTGGGGTCTCAATAAGGATAAGATCTGCATCATCCTGCTTATCAACGGCCTTCCCTTTGCCCTTGCTGGGAAACGCAATGACCGGGCCCACAAAGATGACCTCGTCGTCGGAATGATTGGCGACGGCTACCCGTTTCGAAGATGGTGTCTCGTTAGAGTCAACGTCAATATCCAGTCTGCGCTTTGAGGTTTTTGCGGGGGAAGAATGAATCATCCGATCGTCTCGAACGCGGCTGGTGGGGGTGGATGGTGGAGATGACTGAGGGCTACGACGTTTACGAGGTGTGGTGTCAGGTTTCGGTCGAGACGCGAGAGCTTTCTCGATATTGCCAATGACCGACCGGCATTCGACTCCCATGATTTTATCAGCCATTTTTTTAATTCGTTCCAACAGTGATGCTTTCGCCTTGACCATTATCAACCAGTTGACCAACCGCTCGAATAACACAATCCTGTCGGCCTCCGACGCTTGCAGGGTTACAAATTTTGATGGAGTACCGCAGTTATATCGCCCACAACGCTGTTTTTGATATCGGTCAGTCAGGGCTGATCACCAACGACAGTGTAGCGAACTTACAGAAACTTTGAGCTGTGCAAAATCTTCATGATTCTTATTCCCCAAGTTGATGGTGGTGGAATGTTTCACATTATCGCCTTGCATTGGAACCTGGCAAGTCATGAACCTCTTCAAAAAATTTGAACGGCGTTCCTCTTCAAGTGTAAGGCGGAGGCCGAAAAGGGCTTTGGCGATATCTGACTTGGCACTAAAGTTAGAAGGCAGAGGTCGAGAATAAGTAGGGTGTTCGGCATATAGCTGGATTTTTTGGGAAGGCATAATTTGTGCGCTGAAGATTGGACTCGAAGTGGGAAGAAAAGAAGAATTCAAAATTGTGGCGTGCATGAGTATTCCCACCCAGAGCTTCTTTGACTTCTCTTCGTCTCTTCTGACCGCGGATAAATTCCGTAATTGGATATAAAGCGGTGTCTGAGTTGCGTAAAGCATTTCGTCAATTAATCCAGGCTTATTTTATTTTACACTGCACATAGGAGAACATCTCAACTTATTGCATGATTGACGATCAAAATTAACATTGAACAAAAAATCGGGGCCATGATCTCGATACCTGGTATACTCTATATCTGTATCATTCCAAGCAAAGTCTAATATACGCAGGCAAGAAACAAGTTCATTTTTTTGATCACTACGACCTGGGATAAAAGTAGTAAATGAGCGCGGAAAGAAGAGTCACGAATAGCGCAGACACAAGGATACTGCTAGAGGAAATTTAGAACAGCTCGAGAGGGTGTTCAACCGAAACATACCGAGAATGTAATTTACCTAAAACCATCATCGGTGAAGTTAGTACGGTT